AAAATCACAAGTTTAATTATCGGAAAATGCATATACTATGAAGAAAAAATTTTTATAATCAACTATCCAAAAGAGATTAGTTTACACCAATATAGTAGAAGAAAAATAGTGGAAGAACACGTGACGATTCTAATATGATATACATAAACTAAAAATATTTTAAAGGAGTCTTCACTTATAATTTTGTTTTCAAAATTTAATACTTGTAATTTGTTTTAACCAACTATTTACTATTTTTAATTGATTTTGTAAACTCAAAACTCCATTTATTTTTCAAAAAATAATTTATTTTTAAAAAATATTTTTAAAAGCAAAACATACTTGAAAATTTGAAATAACACATTTTCTATTGTTTGGTTACAATATTGAAAAATTGTTAAAAAATATTAAAGCTTTTATAAGATCGAAAAAATTTATAATTATAAAAAGTTTCACATTTTAAAATTTTATTATTTAATACAACATAAATATTTATTACGTGCTTGATTGTAATTTGTATCTAAGACTTAATCATATTTTATGGACCAAAGATATATTTTGTATAGAATCCAGATAGAAATAAGAGATTATATTCCTAAATCCTTCGCTAACTCTCAATGAACTAGCAATCACTCCAAAATACTTATTGAATTGGTATTTCAAATATTTATCTAATAAAGATTCCACCTACAACTCTAATGAAAATTCTTTACCTCTGTATAAAAGAGGGATCAAACTCCCTACTCACACTATTTAGGCAATGTAATACCAATATATTTCATTCAATTATAAGTATTTATTATTTATTTACTGACTTAAACATAAAAGTGATTGCAGGCCTAGATGAGACCTTTATTATTCGTTTATGTCTTGCAGATTTCTACGGACCTCTCTTTATTTTTCCTTGTTCATTTATGTCTTACAGATTTTTACATAGGCGCTATGGATAGATTTTTCTAAGTCTATCATTATTAAATATGAGAAACAATATTATAAAAAAAGATAAATTACGATATCTATCGATGACCGTGGTCGTGAAAATAATGATTAATTAATAATAAATATGTATTTATAAGTTTATAATAAATTTATCAGTATCTGAAAAATATTTTTCTCTTTTAGAAAAAGAAAGTTATAAAAATGATTTAGTTCTCTCTTTCTTAAGGAAAATATCATCTGTTGCTAATTTTCTTGAACACTTCAAACATTAAAAAAAAATCTAAAAAATATTATTCAGACAAGTTATTTCTCGAAATTAATGGAATCTCAATATTAATTTATTATTATTTTTTCCATTGAGAAAAAAATATATTAGATTTATTCCACTATTGAGAATAAAGGAAATCATTTAAAATAAGAAAGCTCAAAAAGTTATAGCCGTAATACTAATAGCATTATTTCAAATTTGTTTGACATGATGTAATCAACCGAAATGATAATTACATTATATGAGTAATTACATTATTTGATTAGACTTTTTTTAATAGCGTAGTATAATTGAGACTACGTGTATAATCTTCATCACTTAAATTGATGTAATACTCATTACATGAAAAAACACACATATTGTCTATTACATCAAGTAAATGGAATACCGATTATATTAAGTCATCCCAATCAAAACTCTACCATTCTAGATTATTTAGGCTGTGTTGGGTAATAAAGTTTTGAGTGGCTTTTAAAGTTTTGACTGGTCAAAACGTTACTTAAAAAGTTGTTTGGTAACATAGCGTTTGGACTAGCTTTTAGAGATTAGAATAACGTTTTGTGAAAAGTTAACTCACGTAACGTTTAGCTTTTAGCGTTTCATGAAAAACTACTCAAACAGCTAACAACTAAACACTATTAAAATAGCAAATAGCTACCAAAATAGCTAATTTTGCCGAACATATCCTTAATACTACCACTTCACCACCACAACCACTATCACCGCTTCACCACCACAGCACCACCTTAACACCCACCACAACCACTGCCACAATTACTACTCCACCACCACCACCACCACTACTGTTCCATCACTACTTCAACCACCATTACCGCTCTGCAACGACAACCATCACCATTGTTCTACCATCACCACTACTACCACCATCACTGCTCCATCACTATCACCTCAACTACCACCACCGCTGCTGCTGCCTCAACTCCTACCATCATCGCTCCACCACCACTATCACCACCATCGCTTTACCACCACCACCATGTGGTGGTGATATGATTAGTGGTGATGGTGTGCTAATTATATTACATATTTACAAAAAAAAAAAAAAAGAACGATGATTATATTCCTAAATTTTCTTGATAATATTATCAAACATAGTAATGAAATCTTAATTAAATTACGTTTTTCATCACATTACTTCTTTAATTACATTATATTGCCTTACATCAAACCAGACATAGCGTTAGCATGTATATCCTCATACACATCAAAACTTGACTCTAATATCTATGAGAAAAATGCACAGTTAAGCCCTTAAATTTAATCAGTTTTTCCATTAAACTTTTATTTATGAATATTAAGTTTTTAAACTTTTATTTTTTTTAAAAAAATTAAACTCTATTTAACCGAGATTTAAACTTTTATTTTTTTAAATTAAACTCTTATTTAATTATGAGTTAAACAATTATAATCCCATATGTTATACGCGGTTGATGGGAAAACTTAATCGAATTGTTAAATCTCTTAAACTTTTATTTTTTGAAAATTAAGTTTTTAAATTTGTACTTTTGTTAAAGTGAGTATTTAAATTATTTCCATTATCAGTGATTTGAATTTATTATTTACTCACTATCGATTTAGAACTTAATTTTAACTTAAATAAAAATTGAAGGATTCAATATTGATAAATGAAATTGCAGGAGCTTAGTAGACAAAACTTGAAAAATAAGAGGCTTAAGTACATCTTTTACCAAATATAATCAAGAGTTAATTTACACTCACACATAGGTGAGGATAGGATTAGGATAGAAGTGTGGTAAGTGCCCGCGAACTTTGAGTTATCCATATCTATATCTGTTTAGAGCTTTAAAATCAATTGTATCTATGTTAAATCCGTTTAAATACCTATATCAAAATCTGTTTAAAATTTTACTGTCCGATCCATTCAAAATCTATTTTAAATACTTGTATTTGATGTTCATAAAATTTAAACCATTTAAACACGAACTTATTTAAAAAAGTATCTTCCATTGATAATGGATAAAGTATCAAGGATACTCACAGTAAAACTCATTTAATATAATGGATAACAAGTAACGAATATTCAAACTCATTTAGTAAAACTCCTGAATTCAAACGACAGGATTTGCAAGTGAAGAGAGATGGAACCTAAAACGGTTGGCTATGTACTCAATGTAGATTCACTAACAAAGTACAACAAATGCAAATACCAAGTAAAAAGGAACAAATGGTTAAGAATTCAGACAAAGTCCTAACTTCAAAGTTCAAAGTTCAAACCATAAAATCATTTCAGTAAGGAGAAATCAAACTAAAACTTTTGAATGTTAAAATTTCAACTTTAACCACAGAACCAAAACCCTGTTAGCTATGTACTAACACAAAGTGCAAGAAACACCGAGTACGAACTCAAGCACAGTAAGATTGAGCTGGATTGCCCATAACCCAAAAACACTAGAATGTGTCTGGTGTGGAGGGGTCCAGAAGCCAACTTAAATAGAAGCAGAGGGACAACACTGGAAATTATGATTTAAAAAAAAAAAAAAAAAAAAAAAGAGACAACACTGGTTATTAGAATTTAAAAAAAAAAAAAAAAAAAACTAAAAAAGCAAAGAAGAAAAACAAGAAATATATAAGGTGGCTATATTGGGTTGGGATGCAGGCTGCGGGCTTTAGCCCCCATACAGATTGAATATCAGCTCACATGGTCTATCTAGTACTACTCTGGTTCCACCCCTTCATATATACTTACCCTCCTTATAGGATTAGTTATCGAAGATGATCCTTTTATGTTAATTCAGTATTTAACACACTTTCATCTTTAAAAAAAAAAAAAAAAAAAAAACTAAAAAGCAAAGAGAGAAACAGACAAGAAATAACCGTTGTAGGGGTGGCTTTTTGGGTTGGATGCCAGGCTGACGCTTGAGCCCCCCTCAGATGATTCAGCTCACATGGTCTATCTGTACACTCTGGGTCCCACCCTCCACTTTCTCTCTCTACTACCCTCTTTGGATTAGTTGTCAAATGATCCTTTTATGTTATCATATTACACACTTTCATCCTATCTATTTCAAAGTTACTAACTTTAGTTAATGAGATTTAATCTGCCAAATGCATAAATTAATATCTAAATTTTATAAGAAGAGTCTAGTAGCACCTTTAAACGTTGAAAACTTCTTTTCGTAAAATTATAGCTAGTAAATGCCTTAATTTAAAAAACCGTATTTATTAAATACTTAAACGTATATAATTATGTTTATTAAATATTTATCGGATGATTTAAAATATAAAAATTTTATTATTTAATAAATTATATTAAAAGTTATATAAAATGTTACACTTATTGAATATATTATTTAGTAATTGTTGTAAAATTAAAAACCCTGTTTTTTTTTTTTTCAAATTAAGTTGATACTTAGTCTCAACTGTGCTTTTATCCATAATTTTAAATAATTTATTTGTAGAAACCCTAAAAACCATATATTTTTCGTTGACATATCATAAAAATTAAAATTATTAATTTCAAACTGTTTAAATACTGGTAAAATGTAAAATAATGCAAATGGTGACAGTTTTTGCAACCAACTTTTTTTCTTGGAAATTCTCTGTATTACAATCGTCTTTTATAATATTTTTATTAATATTATTTTGTTCCAAACATGCCCTTGTCTTATCCAAATAATGCCCCGTACTCTCCTGCCCTTCTCTCTATTCTTATAAGGGCAGTGGCCTGTGGATCAAAGACCACAGTCCCAAGAGAGAAGAGAAAGACAAAGCAATTAAGCTCACAAGAGAGAAGCTCTTCTATTTTCTAGAGTAAGAAAGAAGAAAGAAGACGATGGCCAAGGAAGTAAGTGAAGAAACGCAAACTACCCATGCAAAGGATTATGTTGATCCACCACCTGCGCCACTGATCGACATGGCTGAAATCAAGCTCTGGTCTTTCTACAGAGCTTTAATAGCTGAGTTCATAGCCACTCTCCTTTTCCTTTACATAACTGTAGCCACTGTAATTGGCTACAAGAAACAAACTGATCCATGTGGTGGAGTTGGTCTTTTGGGCATTGCATGGGCCTTTGGTGGCATGATCTTTATCCTTGTTTACTGCACTGCCGGTATATCTGGTAAGTAAAAAAAAAAGGAACTATTTCTCTAAGTTACTAGTACCCAAATGGGTATTTATTAAGTTTTAGGTTTCTGTGAAGTTTCTTTGTGGATTTGGTCATTCAACTTGAAAAATAACAAAACCCATTTGTTTTCAAGACCTGTTTAATAATGGGTTTTCCTTATTTTGGTTACAGGTGGTCATATTAACCCAGCAGTGACCTTTGGGCTGTTTTTAGCAAGAAAGGTGTCACTAATTCGAGCCTTGGCTTACATGGTGGCTCAGTGTTTAGGTGCCATCTGTGGTGTAGGGTTGGTCAAAGCTTTTATGAAGAATCCATATAATCATCTTGGTGGTGGTGCTAACTCTGTAAATACCGGCTATAGCAAAGGAACTGCTTTGGGTGCTGAGATCATCGGCACTTTTGTTCTAGTCTACACTGTTTTCTCTGCAACTGACCCCAAGAGAAGTGCACGTGACTCACACGTTCCTGTATGTTATCAACCATAGCCTAGTATAGCTCTCCTCTTTCATGTCAAAGAGTTCAAATCTAAACTTTGTTTTGGTTATGTTTGGTTGCAGATTTTGGCTCCACTTCCAATTGGGTTTGCAGTTTTTATGGTTCACTTGGCTACCATACCCATTACTGGTACTGGTATTAACCCAGCGAGGAGCTTCGGTGCTGCTGTTATTTACAACAATGATAAAGTCTGGGATGATCATGTAAGCCTCTTGATAGTCAACCAGAAACTTATTTTTCTTGATTTTATGGTTGTTTTGAAGTTGGTGCTTTTTAACATAAAACATCAGAAGTAGGTTAATTTTCAAGAATATGTTTATCTTCTTGATAAAATAATTTAATTTCCTTTTTAATTATTTTTTGGATGGGCAGTGGATTTTCTGGGTTGGACCGTTTGTTGGAGCAATTGCAGCAGCTGCATACCATCAATACATACTGAGAGCAGCAGCTATCAAAGCTTTGGGATCTTTCCGCAGCAACCCCACCAACTAAAATGAAAGAAAGAACGAAAGAAAGAAAAACAAGAAAAAAAAAAAAAAACAAAGGCTTTGTGTAGCTATCTTTAGTCTCTAGTCTTTCTTTTTCTCTATTTGTTTGTTTGTTGTGTGTAATGAGAGGATTATGATGATGACCCTTCTTTCTTCTTTCTTTTTTTACTTCATTTTTTCTTTTCTTATTGTTCTTTTGTATCATTGTTAATGAGTAGTGCTGTTCTTTTTTCTTTCTTTTGATCATATTTAATTGCTTTGTGCAGTGTAGAACGTTCTCTCTCAACACTCTTTTAATAATTAGCCACTAAATAAACTACCAGCTAACTAAATTTTTATCCTCTCGACCTTCATTACAGCGGTGCTAGTGAATTTGTGAGTAGCGGTTAGGCCATCTTCGGGAACAGTTTTTTCATATGGCTGTTTATTATTATTATTTTTTTAGAAAATGGCTTTTTAGTCTTTTAAATAAATCAAAATTAATATTTATGTTAGTGTTTTAGAGTTTAAAGAAACTCAAAACTAGAGTAATGATTGAGTGGTTAAGTATTATTGATGGTCCTATTGCAATCTTTTAGTAATGTTTGCACTTGTCACAATAATTACGAAACTTGTTAAACAACTTTTTTTTTTTTTTAAATAACATGTGATTTAGTTACCAATTTATATTGCACAATAATTAAAGAACTCGTTAAAGATTTTTAATTTAAAAAAAATTATCGTAATTGATTAAATTGTTATTTTATCAATTACTATGAATTTTAAAATTGCACAACTACTTAAATGTCTCGTTAAAAGATTTTAATTTGAAAAATATAGTTATCTTGATTTTTTTTTTTCCACCAATTAGTGGAGATACCTTGAAGTGAGGGTAAAACCTAAAAACGAAAAAGCTTAGTTTTTTAAAATAAGATTAAAAGATTGAGGAGGTCGGCACTAAAATCTGACGGTTAAGATTACTAATAATTCAACTGTACATAAAATATTTCCTAATCAATTTTATTTTTTGAATTAGAGATCTAATTTTATTTCTAATCCGATATTTCTTAATTAATTAATTAATTAATCAATGAATTTGATGAATAAAGGGATTGACCTCTAAATTACAGTCAAATAAACATATGAGGATATTTATTTTTAAAAACTAACTATAAAATTTTTAAATTATAATTTTATTAACATTTAATTATTCATTCAAAATAGCGTCTTTTGACTGTGAATTAACTAACAAAAGACGGAATTGATATAGCTTAAAAAAGGAGTTCGACAGTGGAAAAAAAAAAATTAAATTACTCCCTAAACTATAATCAAATTATTTATGAGATCTTCAACTTATAACTCAATTAACACTCTGATCTCTCTATTTTGAATGAAAATACTAAATGTTAACGAAATCATCATTTAGAAAGGGGTTAAGTATTTTCGACACCTTAAATTATGACCAAATTAATATTTAGGTTCCTCAATATTTGAATAATTATTTTGAATGACCTAAATAATGCTGTCATTACGCTGTGAGGACCTTCCATCCAAATTCCTACCTTTTTTTTTTTTCCGTTTATATAAGTTGAAAAGCAAATAATTACTTAAATAATGAGGGATCTAAATGTTAATTTAGGGATCCGAAAATATTTAACTCCCCACTTAATATTCACCTTTCAGTCCATATAAATAGAAAAAAGGTAGGAATTTGGATGGAAGAGACTTATAATGTAACGACAACATTATTTAGATCCTTTAAAATAATTATTCAAATGTCGAAGATCTAAATATTAATTTGATCATAATTTAAATACCCAAAAATATTTAATCCTTCAGAAAGTTTTAAAAATTTTTATATTTAAATTTGACGATAGAATTTAAAGACCAATTTATTCTTTCCGTGACGAGGAAAATAATTCCAATTTCTCAAAGTTATGATGAAACGGACAACCATGGTAAATGCAGAGGTAAGACAGGCAGTAAATAGTTAAAATCGTCCACTTTCCTTATCAAATGATGGCACGTGTCAAAAGAAGAGGGAGCATGGAAAGGACCGTAGATGCTTTATTTCTTTATCTCTAGTGTAATGAGTTAATTTTGAAGACAAACTTTTTTCACCTGTGTGTGGAAAGTGGAAAGTGGAAAGTGGAAAGGGGTTTGTTTAGGTGAGATGCTGGTTGGCAAAACCACCGACTTTGGACTAAAGTCCAACCATTAGGACTAACCGAACCAAAAGTAGAAAATGAAAGCGAATGGTATTTTTATGGCCTGGCTGCCAGGCCTTAAATTGCCACGTGGTTTTTTTCTATTGGGTTGCATAGAACCAACATCACATGGAGTGTGGGTTAGGGTTAAAGAAGGTTGGTGCTCAGTCCCTCTTTTATCCCCCATCAGAGTAACAGTTGCCCTATTCATGAAAAAAGGCCCAAATTTCAATAAAAAAAGAAAGGAAGTAAGTAAGAAAGAAAGTTGTCTGGTTTGGGCTTTTGGAAGAAACCATACATTCGGTTCAAATATCTGATTTAGTTAAAACAAAGGGGTGAATCCATGAAATTTTAAAATTCTTTTATTCTTTTAGGATTTTCAAATTTCAAATATATTTAATCAGGCCCAACAATTAGAAACTTGGGCATGATAAGAATTTATAAACAACGATAGGGAAATAGAGTATTTAAATGGGACAAAAATTCTCATTTATAGTCTGATGATCCTAATTAAAAGGGTCACAGAGATTCACCGATCAAACCCACCTAACATTAAAAATAACAAAGTTCAAATATTTGATATTAGTACCACATGCTATTAGGGAAAATATTACATTAAAATAAGTATTTACTATATTAGAAATTGTTTTTAAAAAATATACATGGTTTAATCATTAAAAATAAAAAAAAAGTTCACTGTTTTTTTAAATTTAAGATGAAGCTTTTTTAAAGTAAATTTCAGTTTCAAGTCTCAAAGAAAATCTCCACATCAAAAAACTCTAAATCCGTGATCGACAATAATTTTTTAAATAGTCAAAAAGCTAAATATTAATTTTAATTTATGAAAATTTATTCAAACAGTTAATTTTAACAGTTAATTTTAATGAATGAATGCTTAATCAAATGGTAAAAAAAGAAAAAAAAATCCCCATCCGGAACAGCTTGGCCTAAAATGAGAAAAAGAAGGATAAGTCTTTGCTTTTGTATTTATTTAATTATCCTTTCAAACAGAAGGAATCATACTTCTCGTCTTTTAACAAAGTAGCATATGGCAATGGTATCAAGTAAAAATGTGCCAATCTCTTGAGCCAAGTGTGTGCGAGAGAGAAAGGAAGTGGTCCTGACCTCAAGACTCAAGAGGGTCAAAAAATCAGGCTGACACTGCACCACCATTGGGTCACAGTGGTCCTTGGCTGTGACTGCTCGTAAATGGTGGCTGTCTTCATCACACTGCCTTTGCCTTTTAAGTTTTAACTGCATCAATGCACTCGTGCTCCAAATTTGTCCGTTTAGAATGTCCTCTTTGAAAAAAAAAAGTTAATTTTCCATACAGCCCATAATATTTGATATAATTAATAAATCAAATTCTAATTCTTAAAAACTAAATTAAAATAGTTCCTGAATTCTACTATTCAAATGGTTGTTAGCTGCTGCAAACTAAAAAACTGTTTAATCCAAAAGCTGTAACTTTGACATAGCTTAAATTGAAAAACTAGTGATGACTGAACAAGTAGAAATGAAACAGGTAAAAATATCTCCCTCTAAACATACAAAGCCAATCTCAAATCATCTAGAGTTCTATGCTCATGATTTACAACTGGAAGGAGAATATGTTTTACTTGTATAGTGACCATTAAGACAACCAAACTGAACAAAGCTGCATCTGCAGTGAAATTCACCATATATTGCTTGGAGACGTGCAGATAGCCAAGATAAAGGATAGTTACCCTCTCTACCCTCCGGAATTTATAGTCAGTTGTACAAACAATGTGCACCTGGATTAAAAGAAATGAAATTGGTAATGAAGACCAACACACAAATCCGAAATCAACATAGGAACAATTTGCACTATAAAAAATTCGATTTAAAAAGCATCATCTATGCCCACTGTCCAAAATGGGAGTTATTTTAATAGATGAACTAAATTTGGTTTATGCATAGACTAAATGCAACAAATACATTTGAATTTATTATCAAGTAAAATTTATGAATTTAAAAACAGTCACCATCTGGACCCAAGCACTGTCCAGACTAGATGCAACAAAGAGCATGATCCAGACAAATTTATTGCAAACTGTACCTGTGAAATCAACAGGCCAAAAATGCCAATAACAGAAATTTATATGTTGCCTAGTTGAAATTAATAATTTTTTTGTATACCTAGTTATAAATAAAAAGGAAAGAAAAACAAGTGGTAGGTATTATATTAATTGAAACAGTATGCGCTATTACTAAAGATCAAATTATTATCAGTTAAATATTGCAGCATATACTATGGATTTCATGATTTTATTTCAATTTTCAACTACTTTAAGCAACTAGATTGCTATAATTTTAGTCAAAAATTAAACCAGCAATTATTCAACATTTGCAAAAGGCAAAAGACAAATGTATTATAAGCCTTAGGGCTTAGGTAATACCACTTGAACACAGAAAGCATGATTCTAAGAGCACACCTTAGTCGGGCAAAGCAGTTCCTCTCTCAAGATTGTTCTTAATCTCCAGCGTGTATTTACCAAAAGCCCGTTCAATCTTCTTGTTGAAGTGCTCATTGCGGTCATTGATCGAGTCAATATCCTTCTCTTCATGGAATCTTCTCCTTCGACTAAATGACCTGCGTTTCTCCTCCCTGTCCTTTAGTTCCTTTACCATCCGGTCAATCTTATCCTCAGAGATCTTTGGTGCCTAAATGATTTGAACAGAATATACATCACTCAACTGTCCTGAATTTATATCTACCAGAAAGCATAATTTTCACAGCAGCAGTACCTTCCCATATTGGAGACTTGAGGCTTCGCGGTAGAACTCAGGATCAGCTTCTTTCATTTTGTTATACTCTTCTAGGTCAACATCAACGTTCTTTGTCCGCTTTTTATACGCATTGTACAGGGTCTTCTGATTGAAAACTGATAAAGCATATGTATCAGTTGCACTTGCATCATCAGATTAATACTGGAAATGAATATTTACCATTAAGGAAGCCGTTTCACCAAGAAAATTTTGATTCATGAGTAACTCCACATTAATGTACATGTAAGAAACAATTAAACTAGACATTTCCCTTTTCAAGATTTCAAGAAGCATACACAAAAGAAACAACATAGGTATAAACATGCATATGCTTACTATAGTCTGAAAATAAAATCGACCTGAGTGTGTCACAGAAGAATAAAGAAACAGAAAGGTAACGCAGCATTTAATGAAACATGATAAAACATAAATTAATTAACAAGAAGAGAACTGAACATATGACGCAGGGGAAGCCGTAGGGCTGTCAGTTTTCAACAAGTAGGCTAGAATAGGGTTGATCGTAGGTGGAACAGTAATCAGTAATTAGGTTTATAACCTTTGAATTAAAATTATGAAAATTATGAGGGAAAATAAGATGATTACATACAAATAAGATGATTTACAATACTACTAGTGCCGTTTATTTATTGTGATAAATCCTAACTAGACTAGGAATCCTAATTAAAGAAAGAATTAAAACTCTACTCCTATTCAATGATAAAATAGTAAATCCTAATCAAATAAAAAAAATGGAAAAATAATGCAAATCTGAAATAAAACAGTAAATTAAATAAAATCCTAGTTGTGCTAGGAATCCAATTAGGACTAGGATTGCTCCTGCATCAACATACCATCCCAACCGAATGGAGCGGGATCCTTTTCCCATTTCTTATATTTTGCCTCTGCTGCTTCTTGTGTATCCAGCATATATGCTTCTGTCATATCCAAACCATTTGCATCTAGAAGTTTGCCAATCTTTTTCTTCCTCTCTTCAATCCATTTTTGTTTAGAAATACCCCTTGATTCCGGTGCTGCTTCCATTTTCTTCTTTTCAGCAACCATTGCCGTCTGATTTGCTTTTCTTGCCTCATTCTGCATTTGCCAATGAATCATAATTATCCCCAAATCAATGAAGTCCAGAGCCATATAGTAGACAACCAAATGAAAGAGGTTAATATCCACATCTAGTCAACCACATAAGCACACAGTGTTCATGACTCAAAAGTCAGAGACAAAGTACCATCTTAAGCCTGAGCTCAAACAATTTTTTCTGTCTCCCAGTAAGTTGCATAGCATCTCCTTCCATATTTTCCTGGACTGTATGATTGTCCTCATCATCAGAATGTTCTTCAAAATCCCTTTCATCATCTTGCTGCTCATCTTGCTTGGAAGCAAGTATAGTGGACTGAGTATTTCCACCTTTATCTTGCACAACTTTTCAGATAGTGTAAAGAAACACATTAATTGGGTAAACAAGTAAACACGGATCAACAAAGATTGAACACAATGCTAATAGGATAGAATCCCATAATCTTGAAAGGAAAGAATTGTATAAAACATCCAATTCAAACAATAAAATCAAACATTGTCACAAATGGTGCAGAAAACCATTACTGTATACATACATTTAAATCCCTGTGTGTGTTTCCTTTTTTATCATCAATAGTATAAATGACAATGGTTCAGAAAGGTGAATAAAGACAAAACACTTGAAATATATACCCGTTTCATCTTTAGCCATTTGTGCCTTTGCTTCTGCAATTTTTCTAAAGCAATATTCAACACACTCATGGTATGGATTAGATGCATTTATACAATCCGGATGCACTCTCCTTTCTTCAGCCATCTCCTGATAATTTCAACTTGTTCTACAATACTGCAATTGCAATAAAAATCCACTCCAACAAGTAAAAATCCATTTCAAGTAAAACAGCTGCAACTACATCACTCAGCATCATATTAATTTTCAACCACACATACAAAAAGCCCCTACTTTCTCAGAATTAGCTGTTCCAAATTAAAATAATGAATAAGGATTCCAAACTACAATTTTTCACTATATTTAACTTTTCGATATCAAATGAGTTCTCATCGAACATCTGTTTTATACAAAACTTAGTATCAGAAATCGAAAAACAAAAGCTGTTTAACCAATTGAACTTATATTCAATAATCTACAATGAATATTATCTTCCTGAAGTGTATAATTTATGCTACTTAGCGCTAAACAAATCAAGCAAATCATCTTACTTCATTCAAAAATCAATAACCCAAGAAAAAAAAAAGCAAAATATTTTTATTTTTCTACTTCCATTTATAATCAGAAAACTAATCGAGGGATTTGATATTCCTCAGCAACAGAATAAAACATGAAATTTCAATGAATCAAAAACAATCCTAGAATTCAAAACTAGTCAAATTTGAGATAGGAAACAAGAAATTGAAAAAACCGAAAGAACCAAACCTGTGAAGGGGATTGCTTTCCTTATGCTTTTGCGTTTCCTTGTGTTTGGTTGGATAAAAAAGGGGAAAAGAAAATTAAGCGATGAACCGCGAATTAAAGAATTGGGCGAGAGATTTTCGATTTTTCTTTTCTAATTTTTCCCTTCAATTTTGTGAAAATATAAAAATGTTTATACAATTTATTGGGCTGCTTATTTGGGCTTGTAGAAACAGGTTGGGCCATGGATCAGCTTCAATGATTTAGGTTTTTATTGTGGGCTTACTCTTGCATAGTTCTTTATTTTTGTATTTTCTTTTCTTTTTCCTTTTTTAATTACAAAAAACTCTTTTTGATTGATTTATTCGAGCCTTCACCGGACGGATTGAATTAGTGAATATACTTATAGTGGAAGGACTCGAACTCGATACTTTCACTCCTTAGTCCTCACATAAAAGAAAAATCTAACTAAACCTGGCTTGATTGACAATACTCTAGTCTTTTTAAAGTTTGCTTTAATATAAAATTTAATTTATATTTTTGATTGATGGTAGTATAAGAACTAAACTTTAAGTTTCAGAAACGGTAGAATCGAAGTATACATTGTGATAAATTTGAAGATTTTTAAATTTTATTTCTAGGAAATATCTTTTCAACAAAATATGAAAGAATTTAAAAGGCTTTTATTAGTGTACAAAAATAAGAAAATTATGTAACCATACAGAATTCCTCGTAGACTTACATCTCAGGTTACTGTCATAACATGTTACTTTACCAAATAATAAATATTATTTTTTTTATTAAAATTGCTTTTTATATTTAAAATATTTTTAACCCCAAATAATTGAACTCTTATATTTTTTAACCATTAAATTGGTAATACAAATTGTATAAGTTATATGGCTTGGGCTACCACACTGTTTTTAGTTAATTTATTGGAGATATAAATGTAAAATAATAAAAAAAAAGAATTCAACGTTACATTAAAATTAATGGAGTTGCACACATTAGATAGATACATCTATAAAAACTAAAATTATGCGATTTATAATTTTATAAATTTTTAATTTTAACTATAAAAATTAATTACAGTGGTTAAAGATGACTACATTATTTAAAAAAAAAATTAATGGATGAGAAAAGTATAATAAAATAGTTCTTTATTTGTAAATAGTTCTTTATTTGTACAGAATTATTAATAATCTGTATTATAGTATTACTTATAACATTATTGGAAAAAGAAATTGATGCTCTTCGCTCAATTAATTTATTTAGCTTAATCTATCGTACTTGAAAGGTTTGTTGTCTTTGTCTATGACGAGAAAACGACAGACAAAAAGAAGGGAAGAAATTTCGCGTTGGGATATTTTTATATATTTTTGGGAAGAAAGACAATTTTTCTTTCATTTCTTTAGATTTTAGGCCTAATCATAAAAATTAAAATATCTTTTAACTTTTCAAAATAGAATATTTTGCCTTATTTCAAATTTTAATTCCAAATTATATTTATTGGTAAAAGTTATAGCAATGTTCTTGCATTTACATAGAAATTGATAAACAGTTATTGTCAAAATTAAATTTGGTAATCAATGATAGAAAAAAAATATATACATAATGAAGATGATTTTAATCAAGGGTAAAATATTATATTTTAAGGAGTTCTGATATAATGGGAAATAAATGAAAAAAGCTTGTATTTTTTTAGTGATGATTTAACATATTTATGAAAAGATGCGTTGATCAGATAGTTTCTACTTCTATTAATTTAGGTTTGATTTTATTTTTACCCGTTAAAATAATCAACATGAAGATTTTAAAATATTTAAATATGACCTATAAATTTCATTTCAAAGCTACTAAGATTATATTTTAGGACCGGATCTTTCCTGTCTTAATTTCAGAAAGACAGCGTTGGTGTAATACAGCTTAAGAAATGTCCTAGGTAATGTTCTTCCTCTTTGTTCCAAGAAAGTCTTTAGGGTTGAATTATAAAATTGGAGCTTGCAAGGTACCAACCCCTAACTATATTTAAAAAAAAAAAAAAAAAAAAATGAAGGTACCACCCTCTACTATTATAAAAAAAAAAAAAAAAAAAAAGTTATGGACGATTTAAGATGGGTTACTCCTATCATTTTCAGAAAAAAAAAAACCAAGATGAGAAAAAGACTGACAAAGAAGACTATAAAACAACCAAGAAATGAACTAATGACAAAAAAAGATCTTCCATGTATGGATGAGGTAGAGCAGATTGTGCTCCCATGTGAACTAATGACAATGCAAATTACTTCATGACAACATAATCACATGCATACATCATAGTGAGATTAACTTTTCTTCATGAGAATTACAAAGCAACTGCAAGAAAGAAAAAAAATCCAACAATCCCATGTGTACTAAGTTACTCAAATCCTCAAACTACATGTTTTGAACAATACAGCTTATTTTAAGTACTATAAATACCAAAATACAAATGCCTAGTATTATCACTCACAAGATTTTGTACCTTGCATTTACTTTAAGCAAGCATAGAATGTAGAAACATAAATAGATGCATCAATTAGTAATGTTTTACCTCATAATTTTGTTACAAGATCTGATCTGCCAATGGCTTCAAATGAAACTTTTCAACCTTCGACTTGATGGCTGAAATGGTATCACTGAATTGAGCAGATTCAAGCTCTAGCTTGCTCAAGCGAGCTTTTGTTTCCTCAATTTGTGCCTTGGTGTCCGCAATGGCCTTTTCTTTTTTAGCTAAATCATCTGTCATTGACTCCAGCTCTTTCCTCATAGATTCTATGGTGCAATCGCAGTTTGTTTTTGCTTCCTCTGCAGCTTGTTGTTGATTATTGAGCTCCACAGCTTCTGTAAGTCCATTCAGTATGCTTCGAAGCCAGCTAACATCAATTTGTGCAGACTCTACATCCTTTAGAACGGCCAACATTTCTTTTACTTTGGATTTTGTTAGCTGATTAAGAGAAGTGGACTGCAACTCTTGAACCACAGAGCATAAGCATTCTAGATAATAAGTGCGCAAGGAAGTTGATTCCAACCGACAGTTTGCTGCTATATCCCCATATTTTTCAAGTATTTGCTGTAAAATAGCAGAAAAATTTGAACGCACATGGTATTTTCCAACTGACACACAGGAATCAGAAATGACAGACTGAACTTCACCATCACTACTCTCTTCTGAAGCACGGGAAATGCCCGAAAAAGTTAAGCTCAAAGCCTCACGAGCACGTTTGACTTTTGCATCCTCAGCAGTAGGAGAAGCAGCTGCCTCAGGGGAAGCAACAACCTCTTGATTCTCCTCCTGTTTTGTTGGTGGTGCAATAGCAAAACAAGTAAAGCTACTAATTGAACGGTTTTTGGGACCATCAGACTGTTAGAGAAAAGAAAAAGTGCACGGAGTCAAATGGATATCAAAACCAATACTTTGGCAATAATTTGTGAATGTGTGTGTATATGGCGTGCTGTGTCTGAGACAGAGCCATAGAATCACCGTTAAGTTTCCAGATGTAGGCACATATTCAGAGGATGGAACTTGTCCCTTGTCAAAAGAATGATCTTGAGAATAACTTTCATCTGAATGTTGCCTGGATGAAGAAGAAGATTGACTATTCTCTGATTCCACCTTCTTTTTATTGGGAAAAGGAGATCGAGGTGACATAGAGTCAGCAGGGTAAACTGGTTTCACATCATAAATATTATTGTTTTCCACCTTTTTATCGGAAAAAGGAGATCGAGGTGTCATAGAATCAGCAGGGCGAACTGCTTTCACAGCAGAAATATTATTGCTTTGAGGAGACATGGGTTGAGAGTCAGATCCTTTACTTTTTTTGCCAAAGCTCAGAGAAGCTTTGAAGGAACCTGCAATAGTAATGTACTACAATGAGGAAAAATGCCAACAGTTTGAATTGAAGAAACATCTATAACAGGAATTTTATCCTAGTCTACTCTTGTAGACAAATTCGAGAATACAAAAGAGAACTGTCTACATGTTCTCTCTCCCTCTATGTAGGTCATAGTCTAATAAAAAAGGTCCTGCTAAATTCACAGGCTACTAGAGAATGAAAAAATGTATTTATATCAAGTACTAACAGAAAATGAAAGCACTAACAAATACTATTCTGTGGTCAAAAATTTTAGATTTCCTAAAGATCACTTAAAATCAATGTACCAATCCAAAAAAATAAAAAATGAAAAAGAAGCACATGTCTATATGTTTATCAGGTGTTGTTTTCATAAGCCTCACAAGTTTTTCGAAATATCTACAAGGAACCGAAACTTCTTCAATAACTAAGAGTTCTTTCATCCCACTTCCGGTTCTTATGTCTCCCCTGATTGGTTAATTGTCATTTACATTTTACTTTGTTTTACATGAATTCCAGAACTGCTTATCCTTCATGGCAGTTTCTTCATTTGAAAGTGCATGTTCCTGAAGGATATAATATTTTGTTCCTGAAGCCATTCCTGATCAAATGATCATTAGCATTTGAAGAGGGGGAAAAACCTGATTCTTTGTTAACCCCCTGAGGATTGGCATTAGAGCAAAATTTGTCACACTGATGGAAAGGATTAGATGCTTTAGGGCAACTTAGATCTGCTCTTCTTCCTCCATCCACCTTTTTGCTAACACCATCCATCTTTTTGCTAAGTCCACCTTCTTTTATACCATTGCGATAATCTAAAAAAACGTTTAACAAAAATTATACCTGTGTTTTGAAAATGTCAAGACAGGAAAAGGCGGCACATTTGTTGATCTTGAGACCAATTATTTGCTCGAACTCTTAACAAAAACAAATTAAATAGGAACCAGGAAACACAAAGTATATGCACTAAATGCCATTTCTTGACATTTAAACTTCACTTTTTAAGCCAAATTGACTGAAAGGTAAGTGCATGCTGTCTGGTGAGGAAGAAATAATTGTCTTATTAAAACTGCTCATTGATAAGTAATAGTTGACTCAAGGCTTCATATCAGCCTCACCTAAGCTAAAACATCTTAGAAATTGAAGAGGAAATCATTGTTCTCTTTGAATTAACATGTATTTGGTTCTGCAGTTGTCCCAGAGTGAAAACCACATGCAAACTCTACAAACACTCTTAACAAATTCATAAGATGCAATTTTCCAAACAAAGAAAAATTCTTGATCCTCTCAAAACAATGAAGACAAATGAAGGGAACTCATAAACACAAACCGTTATCTGATAACCTTCTTATTTTCAAAGAACAAGAATATCCAATATGGTTATTTTCTTCAGCAAACAGATCGAAGGTTTTTCATGAAACTATGGCCCAAACAAATTTCTTTGTTGTAGAAGTGAGATGCAATTATGCAAAAAAGTACTGTATGGTAACACATATAAATTTTCATTCCAAGAATTGCATTTGATTCTCAACTCTTGATCTCACCAAACAAGACTTGAATCATTTGGATCTTTCTCATTTTAGGAGATTGGTACCATGTATGATATTTTCTCAAGGTAATGAGAATAAAGTTGGTAAAAATAACGCATCAGAAATAGTAACAGTAGCAATTACCTGATTTTTTCTTAGGCTGCCGTACATGGCCTTGTGCAATCTTTTCAAGGCAAGCCACACCACATTCATGATAGGGATTGGCAGCATTAACACAATCTGGGTGTACTCTTCCATTATCAGCCATCGTCTATTCAATTTTTAGAACTGCAAACCAAAAGCATATCAGCGCAAACAGTCAAGTTTCCTTGACATTTACTGATCCAATTTACAAAATAACATAAAACAGATATTAATTTCTATAAATTGACAAATTCATTCTAATATTGCAATAAAATCCCATTAAGCTTTCAAATTGATATTAATCAGCAATCACTGAAGTGTAAACACAAAACTCACTGAATCAATTAACAAAAGTATCAAAGACTAACATAACCTATAACATGGAAAGAGATAAAGCCCCAAATTTTGCTTTTGAGTCTTTACACCTGTCTAAATATTGTAACAACTGTAGCTTAACTTTGAAATTTTACAGTAAGTACTTGAATTGTTAAAGTAATTCCTCCAAACTGTTCAATAAACAGCAAAATCAATAATCAATCAACAAAATTATCCCAAAATGTACAGTTTCCAATAATTTAAATTTTAAACAGTAAAATGGAAATAATTATTTGAGAAACAACCATGACCTGAAAATAACATCTAAGAAGCACACAAGGTTCCACTTCTGTCCAAAAATATGAACAGCTGATTGGACAATGTTTACTCGTATTCTTTTTATACACATATACTTTAAAAGATGCGTTAATATCTTAGAAATACAGGATTTCAAAAAAACAAAAAAAAAAAAAAGAAAAAAAGAAAAGGAAAGGAAACATGAAAGGAAACAGTTTTCAGAAAACAAATTTCCACTTTTCCACTACCTTTTGAAAGCTCTCCCACCGTTTTCCAGGCAAACAAACAAAGAACACCAAGAAACAAGAAAGAACCTTGGTTATATACTATAATTTAAAAAGGCAAAAAACTGCTAACAGAACCCAGAAAGATCGAGAGAAACAAGATGAAACAAATGAAAAAAAAAATTGATAAATTTAAAGCAAAAAAGGAAAGAAAAGAAAAGAAAAAACAGCAAGAATCAATACCCAGAATGAAAGAGGGCTTCTCTCACCTTTGCTGCTTCAAAGAATCTATCTTTACTTTGTACGCATTCTTTGACTAATCTCTCTATCTTTCTCTATATATCTTTAATAAATCTTCAGTTTTTGAACGTCACCTCATTTGAAAAACTGAAAAAAAAGACGTCTATGTGTTTGTTTTGTCCACAGGTTTGACTAACGCAAACACACGAGACGGAGAGAAGAAAGAAAATGTAAAAAGTCGAGTTCAGACTTCCAATTGTAAAGTAAATAAAGAGCTTATAAATGCAACAGCTTAGCCTACCATTTATTTATGGATGCAAAAGAGAGAAACGTGCCGTTTGTCAAATCACACGTGGGATCCACCCCATGTCTTTGTGTTTCCTTAAAATAATATATTTACTTTGCTGGATGTGGGTTGTTTTCGCTTATTCATGCTAGTCAGTTTTGTATTATTATTGCCAATATTTGCCAAACCTGCATTTGTGAACGTTATACATGCTCAGTGATTCAATTTTTTTATTAATTTTTATATGTATGACTTTCTACCAATCAAATTAAAATATATTTTAATGGGAGGTCTTCTCAGTTTTTTTTATCAGCAAATTTAATTTTTATTAACATGCTAAGAAAAACTTAACTTAGTCTTTCTAATGCACCCAAATTTAGCATGAAAAAGTTAAAGTTAAAAAATCTGAAAGAAATATACAATAATAGATCAAACAGCATAAATCATAATGTTTCTTCTTGAGATAAAAATAAAAATAATTAGATCAACATCTGAATGAAGGAGCACAAAAGTCATAAATTTAAATCCATGGCACAAAAGGTTCCACAGCATCAACACCTTGTTTAGTTATACAATCTGCAAATTGATTGCATTCTCTGTTTACATGCTTAAAATCCATTTTTTGTCTTTTCTGTTTGATAGAGATATACTATTAACCATGCAAATGTAATAATATGTTTCTTTGAACAATTATTTTTATGTATTTAATTGAAAATTTACATTAAATGAATAAATTTTTCAGCATATTTTATAATAATGGTGTTAGTACATTTTGTAAGTATCTAACTGCACCAAGTAGAAAACGATTATTTTATAACGACTATTAAAACATATTCTCTAGGACATTAGAAATAAGATTTATGTTCTTAATCTTGATTTAATTAATATGAGCAAATAGACATTGCTTTTTATTTTATTTCATTAAACAGTGAGTTTCATTTATCGGGATAATAATTCTCGGTGAATTGAGCAAAAGCAGCATGTATTTGTGAAATATTAATTAATGATAGAATCCATGTCAAGGTTTAAAGAATGATGTCCTTGAAGTAAGTTTATAAGATTTCATTGTGTAAACTCTGCAGGTAGATTTTTAATCCGACACATAAAATAAGTTAATCGACAATCTTAAAGATTAAAATTGTTATTTAAATAAATTATCAGTGATTTATTTTATTTGATAAGCATTTGTATTTACATGAGGAACATAAGTTATTATTTATGGAAAGTTAAATTGATAAGGAATTCAATCATTTTATGATTAATTATAATAAAAATATACTAGTCTTGTATGAGTTCTTATTATAATTTGCAACCTTATTAATTTATTCCTGCGGTCCCTACTGTGCCTTTATTATTTGGACCGTACGCGGTTTATGTATTTTAAATAATTAATAGATTAATTTTTTAATTAAAATTTTATTTATTAATTTTAAATAAAAAGTATAATCTATTTTATTTAAAATACTAACCACATGCGTAACAGAACGATTAATCTTATTATTTGCTTTCCACGCGAATTAGAGATATTATTGGTTTTTGAATACACGCTAGAGATTGTAGAGTATCTAGAAAAAAATATAATAGTATCGAGAAACAGACGTATTGTATTTTTCTACACACTCAGAAAAATGTGATTCATAGAATCAATTAAAGGTCACATGGCAGAAGGCTGCAGGGTAACTTGAAGATATATGAAAACACCAGCGAGCGAATCTGCGCTACAACAGGTTAGTTCTTGTGTAATTTGTGTGTGGTTTGCTTTCGTACTTGTTTCGATCTTGGGTAATTTCTGCTGCTTAATTCTTGGCTCTCGTTACAATTATGTGAGGAGTGAGAGATTTTGAGTTTAAATTTTCTCAACCACAGTTATTTTTACCAATTTGGTAAGTCAAGAAGAAGGTTGTCTCCTGTTGTGTAGCCTATAAATTTATTCCCACTCATAAAAGGCGCCAATAAATTAAAAAAAAAATTTTTTTCTTTTCAAAAAAAAATATTTTTTTTATTTTGATTTATAAAATTTGATAGGTTATTTATATTTTATTTTGCTGAAATATTAAGAACCATTCAAATATTAGTTTATTTATATTTTTTTATTATCTTAATATCCATTCAAATACTAAGATTTTTTTCGCTCCTAGTCTTTTATTTGCTTTTAAAAAATGTACATTTATTTTGTTTTTTATCCCTTCTCTTGTGAGAGTTTGATCACAGGGTCTCTCATTAAATAAAAATATGATATTTAATTTTATTTAATTGGAGGAATTAGATTTTAACTTACCAATATGTATCTTCAATCAACGGAGCTTGATAGCTCGACTTGTTCCTCCGTTAATGCTTTTTAGTTTTCCAAAAATATTAGAATTCAATAAGAAAAAACATGCTGGTGTTATAGAACTAATCTAACCTCAATTACTATAATCTAATTTCAATTTTTATCAACTAACTACTTCCTATAAAGCTAATATCGATTATTTTTCCATTTTTGTGAGGCGAATTCGTATGCTGATTGGTTATGTTCTGCCTCTTATGGCTCATGATTTACGTGATATTGGTCATAGCTGTATGTGTAATAGTTAGTGTTTTTCGGTCTCTTTTATAAAAACAAAGGGCATTTTTATCCGTTGCCAACCTGTTTGTAGCACCAGCAACGAAAAAAAAAAAATTTATGTTATAACTTTAGAAATGGAAAAATTCTAACATTTGTAGAACCTTTTATCAACTCTTAGCAATGGAAAAATAATGAAACAAGATTTGCTAATTAATAAAAATAATTCCTTAAATATAATCAATCTAATTAAAAATTATTAAATAATTTTAATCGATAAATCAATAAAATTTTTCTAATTAGAGAGTCCATCTCTTGAAGATATTTTATGATAATGCTATTCAGAAGGAAAAACTTGTAAGCTTGTAACTATTTATGATTACTAAACAATTACAGTTAATCTAAATTATAAGAACTATAAATAAAAACTATTCTATTAATTTGTAAATAGAAAGAGAATTAAGGTTATACTTACCGTAAAAAGAAGACATGATTGCAAGCTCAATAATTTCAAATTAGCAAAAACTTGATGTAACAATTATTGATAGTCAAAAACAACAAATTCTTGATAGTCAAAAGCAATTAAAACTAAACATATATACAATGGTATGATAGGATAAATTCTTAATTAGAATGAGATTAAATTTACAATATTAATATAATAAAAATAATATTTTGATATCGTAAAATATGATTAGAAATGATATTTTTGTCAATTCATAAAATTAGCAGAGGCGTTTTAGGAACCCAATGTTTCCCTCCTCATTTGTACTTTTATATATATTATAGATTATCATTAATTTGTGTTAGCAGGACAAAAATGCCCCTTTGTTTAAACCAAAATCATCAAATCTCCATTTCCCTTTCTCTCTTGACTAAATAGTAATTATCTTCTCTCTATCCTTCTCTTGAGTATTATTCTCATGATTTTTTTTTTTAATTGAGACGTTGGTTTTGGGGGGGGGGGGGGATCTTTCATCTCTCCTCGTCTCTCTTGAGTATTATTCTCATGATTTGTTTTTGTTAATTGAGTACGTTGGTTTGGGGGGGGGGGGGGGGGGGGGGGGTATAATTATTGAGGTTAGTGGCAGAATTGGATTTGATAATTATTTTTTGGTAGATTTTAATGGACATTCTAGTGGATTGACTTTGCTTTAGAACTCAAGCACTTTTGTTCAGGTTACAGGGTTCTCAAGGAACTTCATTGATAGTCATGTGGTGGTAGATAACAAGCTAGTCCGTGTGACAGGTTACTTGGTTTCCCAGCTCAAAATTGTCGTAGGGCTTCTTGGAATCTCTTAAGGGCGTTGGCTAGCAGGGATGACAAACCTTGGCTTTGTCTAAGGGATTTCAATGATACTTACTATAAGGTAGGAGGTTTGATTCAATCGGGATACTTACTATAAGGTTTTTAAGAAGCTTTAAATGATTGTAATCTTTTTGAGGTCCCCTTGAGTGGTCAGTTGTTCACATGATCCCAACGACGAGGTATTCAGGTGGTTATTCAGGAGAAACTCGACTGAAGCCTAGGCAATGGAGATTGGTTGGATCTCTTTCCAGATAGTCATTCCCGCACCTTGATGGCCACTACTTCATATCATAGGCCTATTCTATTTGAATCGATGGTAGCTTAGCCTCCTTTGGGTCATAAAATGTTATGTTTTAATAATGCACGGTTGCTGGAAGATGATGTTGAATAAACTTTAATATAGCCTAGATCTTATAGTTCATAGAATTTGTTCAATAAGAATACACAATAAGCGGAAGCGTACCTTGATCCATAGGAAGCGACCTTGATCTCTATAACAGATGATCTATATTATGGATTACCTACCCTCGTGCGGCATATTCAATTGCTCGAACGTGTAACACCAGATCTAAGATTCTTTACTCTGGCCTTTTGTCCGTATGGCTCTCATAATGGTTATAGAATATCAACACACGAAGATCTTTTCACGCTTCCTCAAACAATTTATCACCGTATGTTTGAGGAGCCCATCACAACTCTTATATTACGGCTATTGATTTTTCCTTATATCTGTTTATAAGGCTAGAAGGAAGGGTACTAAACCTAACCGTCCTTATCCATCAGGCCCAGATAACCATCATGCTGTGGGCAACCTTAATTAGAACCACCCTTTAATTCATTGGGCCACTCAATTATAAAATAATTTAAACCCATCTCCCACTTGGCCCATGTGCATCTTCTTGAATCTATTATGTAACGCTTAATTAGAATAAGAAAGATCGAATATGAGCGGCAAACACAGTCATATCGACATGATTCCTTCCATATTATCATAACGCACTTCAATTTTTCATAAGAACTTTAATGAGAAACTATTCAACCAAATCAATAACATTGTCACATATCAAATGTTATTGTTATCTCACTCAAACACATCTATTGTATACAATCTAAATGTGGAAACACATAAATAAGTC